GGTAACGCGGTGGAGGTCGGCGGACGCGAGTGGCACATACCCAGCAGCGGCAGCAAAAATGGCACATAGGTTTTATATAGCAACATAGCTATGAAAAAAAATTGAAAAATAAAGCGCCTGAAAAAAGTCCTCATGAATGTTTCGTCCAAGAAACCTAAAAATTCAAAATGTTCTTTGTAAGTGTTGGAAAAAGTGAAAGGGATGGTTTTCCAGATACGGTACTTTCCCACTTTAGGCAAATGAGTTGACACATGACCCACTTCGGTCTAGAAACCCATCTCCAACAAAAAAAAAAAAAAGTGGACATTTGCAAATGTCGTCATCTGGAAATATTATTCCCCTACTGTACCACAGAAAGTTTCCACCTGCAGGAGTTTCCAGTCATTGAACAAGTTATTCAGTTGCAGACATTGACCATGAGAATTTGTCAAGTGTACAAGGAAGTACCAAGTTTGTTTGCATATAGTGGGAATTACTTTACTCATCTGCACAAGAACAATTGGGAAGGAGTCCAGGGATCAATGAACCGTCACCACTGGTGTTAATCTCTGGGTGGTACAGGTTTGTTCTGAAGAGTCCTTCCCCTCTCAAGAGTGCAAAACCTTTTAGAGACAAGTGAAATAAGACTGAAACTGGAGATACCAGCATTGGTTTTGGTTTCTCAGTGAAAGCCAGGGCATCCTGAATTCCCAACCATCCTCTCTTCCCCTGGTGTCACAGCTTTTCAGGGAGAAGCACACATTTTCAAGTATTCAGCAGCAGCACAGAAACTACATGGAGATGACCTGCAATAAAAAACTCAGTCTGTTAGAGAAGAGAATATGTCTATGTATTTGTATAGATAAATTGCGAATGAGAGATCGGCTGCTCCTGCTCCTGCTGCAGCTTGCAGGGGCAGCGCGTGGTGGCTGGAGCTCCAGGGCCATGGGCTTCCCTGGCAGCTGGGCCTTCCCCACCCTCCACCTCAGCTACCTTGGGGTCCCTCCAAGCGCTGCCCCAGCCCCGCAGCCAGCAGTGACCTTCCTGAGCCCGCAGGAGCTCAGATAGCGGCTCCCCAGTGAAGAAGCATTCCTCTGCTGGTCACTGAAGGCCTCCAAAACTGAAATGAGCTTATTATTATTTCAGGCTGTAGTCTTGGAATGGTTTCTCCTCAACTGGTGATCATGATGTATCCCGGTTAACAGCCTCTTGAGAGGTCTAAGGATGTGCCTAAACCAACTGGCACGCTAACATGTTTCAGGAATAGCATATTAGTAAAGTCTTCTTTTGCCTGTGTTTGTTTGCATTTTATTGATTTTTTCCTTCCTCCTAATTAAAATAAAGTAAAGTAGGACATGTCATTTGAAATAATATTCTGATCTTCGCAGGAGTGCCTACGTGCTAGAGTAGTAAGAATAATCCACCAAATTGCTAAACTATCATACTGCTAATGAGACATAAAAACCTCCCTTGATCTGCCAGGTCAGCTAAGTTTGTTGTTATCTTCATTTAGTTGTCAGCCTTCCAACTGATGGTTTTGGTTTTATTATCAGAGGAAGGTGACAGAAGGGAAGGGAAAAAGAGAAGTGAGTGGAGCTTGCTATGACAAATAGTATGTTCAGCTGAAGCCAACAATATTTTTAAGAAAATTGGGGAGGGTAGCATTGTGGTGCCTGGTCTAGGCCTAGTCTGGGAATTAAACAGGGAACTGAATAATCCAGGGAATTAAATAGGAGTGAACTCTCAACAGTGTATACCATGCTAGAAGAATACAGATTTTAGGAGAAAGTCACAGGGATAGGGAGAGAGAGGGAGTAAAATATGATGTATTTTTGCGCTGGTTATGTTGCCTGAGTGATACTGTTGTTTCTCAACAAGCAATTTACAGAGAAATGCAGTAGATCCAACCAGCTTTCGTAAACTGCTTTAATATGAGGCATTACTTAAAGCTATTAAAGAAGTTTAAATTCCTGACATTCAAGACCGGATACACAACCTACCTGAAAATGGCAAAATACAACTGGTTTCTAGGAAAGTATCTAGAGTGCTCAGATAAAAATAGTAATAGACTGTGAAGTGAATAATCGGTTGGACTAGATGGAGGTTGCTCATAGGGAAGGCAACAGGCTGATTCGATGGGCCGAGGCCAACTGTATGAAGTTCAACAAGGCCAAGTGCCGGGTCCTGCACTTTGGCCACAACAACCCCATGCAGCGCTACAGGCTTGGGGAAGAGTAGCTGGAAAGCTGCCTGGCGGAAAAGGACCTGGGGGTGTTGGTCGACAGCCGGCTGAACATGAGCCGGCAGTGTGCCCAGGTGGCCAAGAAGGCCAATGGCATCCTGGCCTGTATCAGAAATAGTGTGGCCAGCAGGAGTAGGGAAGTGATCGTGCCCCCGTACTCGGCACTGGTGAGGCCGCACCTCGAATACTGTGTTCAGTTTTGGGCCCCTCACTACAAGAAGGACATCGAGGTGCTGGACTGAGGTCCAGAGAAGGGCAACGAGGCTGGTGAAGGGTCTGGAGAACAAGTCTGAGGAGCGGCTGAGGGAGCTGGGGTTGTTTAGCCTGAAGAAAAGGAGGCTGAGGGGAGACCTCATCGCTCTCTACAACTACCTGAAAGGAGGCTGTAGCGAGGTGGGTGTCGGTCTCTTCTCCCAAGTAACTGTCGAAAGGACGAGAGGAAATGGCCTCAAGTTGCGCCAGGGGAGGTTTAGACTGGATGTGAGGAATAATTTCTTTACTGCAAGAGTAGTTAAACATTGGACCAGGCTGCCCAGGGAAGTGGTTGAGTCACCATCCCTGGAAGTATTTAAAAGACGTGTAGATGAGGCGCTTAGGGACATGGTTTATTGGGCATGGTGGTGTTGTGTCGACGGTTGGACTCGATGATCTTAGAGGTCTTTTCCAACCTTAATGATTCTATGATTCTATAATTCTATGAATGTGACCTACAATTTACATGTGTATTGCTATTAGACCTAATGGAGACCTGCTAACAAGTTGCTATCCGCCATACTGTGTACGACTTGGATCCTCGACTTCCCAGAAATCACTTTTAAAGGAGAAAATGTGCAGAATGATTACTAGAGGAGTTTATTTTCCAACAGAGAATTGAAAGAAACAGGCTTGTTCAGTCTAGCAGAGTGAAGTGCTCCATGAAATAAGCAACCGTAAGAAGGACAAAAGGCCATGGAAAATTTTAGAACAAATGAGCAAACTGAGCATAATTAATTTTCTCTTAGAAGTTAGAAGGTTTTTCATCTTCAGTAGAGGAGAGTTTTGGAAGAAACTTCTAATGGATTTAGTGAATTCTAAAACTTTAGATGGAGCTTGATCAAATTATGACTAGGATAAGGACATGAGAACTGATTAACTAGGAGGTCTTTTTCTGATCCAAAGTTCCTGTGAGGTGGGAACAGGAAACTGATGGTTAACTCAGAAGAATATAATAAAATTCATACTGGAATACCTTGCAGAGAGACAAACAAGTATTTTAAAGAAAAAATTGCTAAATTTGTGGAAGGATTATACAATGTAGCATTCTTCTAACTTCACGGTATTGTATTTGATCAGCTACAGCTTCTGCAGTCTCACAAGTCGTAGGAGTTCTCATGTTGCATGGTATCATGGTGTGTTACGTTTTTGATCAGTCATAAACCCACAATAGGGATGCTAGATAAGACCTGTGGGTTTGTTTAAGAAATAGAGTTGCATTTTAAAAAGTCTGAGAACTGCCGTTCTCTGAATTGTGAAAGTGATTGAGTTTTTGCCATCAGATAAGGCAGATAAAGCAAAAAAATGAATATTTAAACATTTTTTTCAAGCATCTCAAAGCCATCCCCTCTCATTTAAAAGCCAAGTGGTGTACAGACCCACTCTCACCTTGTTAAAAAGATTATCTCCCAGAAACATGGCACAACATTTTTTTAGTACAATACTCCCTTTGACTCTACCAGCTATAAAATAAGATGCAAAGTAGATTAACTGGAATCCTTACAACACATTTTCCAGGCAGTTTTTCAGTGTTTGCTGAATTTTTTAGATGTCAGATTCTTCCACGCCTTATTTCTGATACTTTGGTACTCTGAATAAAATCCTTCTCCTCTGTGGATTATTTTATCTCTACTGTGGTATCTCTCTCCACATCATTTTCTGTTATTTGGCCTAGGTCAGAATTCACTCAAAGGAAGTTGTGAAAAAACAGCGCTACCTTTTTTAATGAAGAATCTTCCTTTGTGTGTGCTTTTTTTTCCAGTGGA